ATTCTCTTCTGTTAGCACATGTCTCAACCACCCCTGTAACAAGAAAGTAGGAAATTTGCCACTTCAATCATTGTTTCTCTTCCAAATGAAAGAACGACCTCTTGGTGCTTGGCTAAAAAAAGAATGACGAGGTGCTTAATGTATAGCAGTCTTTCTGTGGGTAGGCTGAATTAATTATTTTTTTAAAGATGAATATGTTTTATTTCTTTTCTAGTTCTGACAGTGCAAATCTGAATCAACAGTGGTTTTAAAAAGTCCAGCAACAGCAGCCCAGGTGAAAATCAATCCCAGCTCTTCCATTAACAGAATCACCCAGACAGATTTTTTTCAAAGCTAGTGCAGAGTGTGTTCAAAAACCCAGTTCTGTCTGGGATTGAAAAGGTCACCTCAAATTCTTTGTGTGTTGTTTTTTTTTTGCCCAGGGCAAATCTTTCACATGGTGGTCCAAATTACTCCAGAAATCACAATATTCCTTTTTGAACCATATAAGATTTCATCTGGCCAGAACTCCTGTGAACCAGAATACAATGTAACAGCCTACACTTTAGACTAGATTTATCACCCCTAGAGTTGAGTTGACACTGAACTATTCTGGAGAATTTAAGCTGGATTCTGATGCAAAGAATTGTGTGCAATATTCCATCTCTATTCCTATGCATCTCATGAACAGGCAAGAACAAGAAATAATTTTTCAAACTGTTTTTAATTCTGCTTAGCTAAGATGATTGTTTGTATGACAAGACTCTCCACCTTTAACCACTGAAGTATCCATACTTAGATTCAGTAATATGTTCAAGCTTAGCCCTTACACAATAACAAAATTAATATGAAAATGCAGGCTCACCAAGTAACCGCAGCTTATAGAGAGATCTTATGTAGAACAGTGGTTAAGAACGACATGCGCACAATAATATATAAACAGTAAAAGGCTCTGTAAGCAAACCAAACTCAGAGGATGACTCTGTGCTGAAGAAATGTACAGACTTTCCATGCAAGCCCTTCCTGGTTATTTATAAAGTCCTCTGAAGCATAATCTTTCAGGCTTGGTGTTTTAAAATATCCAATTGAAAGAGTTTTGGAAAAAAATTAGGCTTTTACAGCTTTATAAATACTCAGAAAATTAGACAAAATAAACACTGTAAATACTATATCTAAAACCATTACAGAACATCACCTTTAGAGGCCACAGATATTTGATAGCCTATTCAAGTTTGGTTGCTTATACTTAACATTCCAATGAAGGAAATAATTTAAGCAATTTAAGAGTGAAATATTTTCTAAACATGGACAGCAAACTAGAACAAGGGGTATTTAAAAGTGAACTTAACTAATCAGTAAGGGGAGTTCTGCTGATGGAAAAAAAATATGGTTACTTATTAACCATCAATAGTACCAGAAAGATTAAAGTAATTGGGTCATTTTTTTTATTCCTTAAAAAAAAAAAAAAATCACTGTATGATGTTATGCAAAAAAAAAAGGCTGATTAAGGCACACAGTTTAAAAAAATAACCTATGTTTAATAAATCAATGTTAAAGGGTCACTGAGATTATATTATACTTTTTAATTGTTTTCTCTTTCTTGCCCTTTTGTCTCCTAAACATTCTCTAATAAATACTACAGATTACCAGAAATAAAATTTGAAAAGAGCTGCTTGCTACTGCTCCTTATTTAGACTTTGTATAGCCCCACCAGATCTGCATTCTTCCAGAGATTTAAGGTAATGCTATAACTTAATAGTCATCCAGAGAATATGTGATATGGCTTCTCTTCTGCAATATCACCATCCTAACATTTTCTTTTACTAATTCTTTTTGGTTGGTTTTAATATCACTCGGGGTTATTAAAGCCTAAAAATTTCCCTATGTAAAACTGTATACTCATTCAGAAATTCCTCTACCTCATATAATTATATACAGTCATATTTCTTGGAGCCAACATTTCCACTTTATGAATTAGCTGTTTTTTTTTTTTTTAAAAAGCCTTGTATTAAGAAGAGCAGTAAAATGTAGGCTATCTTCTACTAAAGGCTTCACTACTTCAACACCACATTCTCAATTCCCTACCAAACCAGGCTTTTATGTGAATATGTATGCACATATACATATGTGCAGATGTATGTAGATTCTTTACCAACGAGGAGGTTCATATTTACATTTAAAGTAAAAACTGTTAACTCTTGATTAGTCCTATTAGTTTCAATGCCCCTCCTTGCTGCTGGCAAAATTAATGATAAATTGGTATTACTACTTCATTGGCTGGATTAGATTAAGAAACAATGAGAACCAAATGTGTTTCAGTTATGTCCTGCTCAAAGTGCTCCTTTTAATAACTTGTTTCTGAAATAATCTCATTAGAAAACAATTACTGTGCTCCTAGGACTTGACACTAGACACTGGGTATTCCATCTTTTAATTCCTATGTTAAAGGAATAAAAATCAAAACCAAATTTTGCCCTTTCAAAATCAAACCAAATGGTACATTAACAAATACAGTAAACAGGGCTGCTAGACTTAACATGCTCCAGAACCCTGTTATATTTGCAGTAACATGAATCCAGCCTGTCAGCTCACTTCTTCAGAAGCACTCATCCATGGCAAGGCTCCAATTGCAAAACACATGCTCATGAAACACACCTGAGACCATTCTGTTAAATCAGGGAATTAGCTACTTGAGAAAGCATAAAAACTATCGTATTTTAAATACGAAAAAATAGGGACCATTGTGGGACCAGTGGGAAAAAGATGAGATTTTTGCAATATTCTAAAGCAAATAAAATGAAGGTGCATCTAATAGCCTTAGAATACTGGTTTGCAAAGCACTAAGTCCTGATAAAAGAGCTTTTCAAAACACATAGTTTGATGTACTTTTTTTTTTTTTTTTTTAAGTTTACAAAAAACACTCTGATTAACCAACTAACAAAGCTGTGGCCACCTCTTTAACTAGTTACTAAATCTCTGGAAAGAACGCAGAACTTAACAGAGGGAGCACAGGGGAAAAAAAACTAAATTGTCCCACACATTACACCAAGGATCCAACAATTTTGATTCACTGACCTTACTTCTGTAAGTGTGAAAGATCCTTTCATTAGAATCATTCCATAGACTAGGGTATTTTTTTACTTTAACATACACTTTCAAGTACTTGAAAATCAAATTAACGAAGAATTACTGAAATACCTGTTTTATGTGTTTAAAAATCCTTCAAATAAATTCCACCCAGAGGGTTTTTCTAAGTCTATTTTGGTGTGTATGTTTACACAACGGGAAATATTATTGTATATACTTCCCATATATCATACATAGTTGGTCCTAAGCTATAAAGAGTAAAGCATCACAGCATCACAGAGCTCCATTACAGAACCAGCCCATTTTGGACTAACATCACTTCTTTCAAAATTCCATGTAAGGATAAGGAAGGTCAAAGGACCATAAACAATCATTGTCTAAGTTTCCAAGAGGGTCAGGAAGAGAACCTATCCTCAACAGAACTATGAAACAAGCAGCATCTAACAAGCTAAAATTTAAGAGCAATAAATGCATTAAGGTACAAAACAGCACCTGTACAAATGTGAGTTGGGAAACACGGTTTAAAAGCAGAATGTACGAAGGAGACAGGAAGTTTTGTCAAATAAGTTAAAAGCATGGCACACCCAAAAACACTAAGTATGATCAAAGATAGCAGTAAGAGAAATACATTTTAATTTAAGGCAGGTGGTACTCACACTATGCTTTGCAATGGTTAGACGACAAATGAAGTATAACATTTAATTTATAAGAGAGATCCAGAACAATGAAGGGATTTGGATAAAGGCACAGGGATTCATTTGACATTCAACAAATAGTTACTGAGCACATGTCCCAGGATATAGCTATATAAAAGTCTCAGGTTCTCACGTACTTTACAATGGGGCATCCTCACCCTCAGAAAAGAGAAGACTCAGGAGGGTAAGAGAAAGATCTTCAAAAATCTGACGGCAAGTAACATAGTACAATAAACAGAACATCAAACTTAGAGTCAGAAAACCTAAGTTCAATCCTAACCTGACCATCATCACCTCAGCCGGTTTTCTCACTCGTAAGATACAGATTAAAATGATCATCAACTTTATTTTGTGCATGATTATAAGAATCTAAATGAGACAATAAATAGGAAAGCTTTCTTTAATGTGTGTTTATGTAGGAGGAGGATCAGATTTCCTCTACAAGATTATATATAACTAAGGTTTCATCAATAGGTAGTAGCCACAGTAGACAAATTCGGCACCATACAATTCAGGGCTTATTGAAGATGGACTGGGCTGTCCCCTATCATTGGAGGTGTTTATGCATAGGCTTGCTCGCCTCTTGGAAAAATCCAGAAAAACACGGTAAGTTGACAAACCATGTCCACAGCAGTCACAGAGTCTAATATTTGCAATTACCCTCTCTAGGAAAGAAGCAAAATAATGATTACATAATAGTATGAAATGCATGTCTATGCATGATGTGATAGAATGGATAGTTATATTTGGGTGAATCTCTCCAAGTCCCAGTGTTCCCATCTATATACAGAGATGATACCGGCATTATAGATTTGGTATGAGAATGGACTAAGGTAGTATAGTTGCCTAGCACAAATCATCTTCAAAAATGTCGTTTCCCTTTTCCTTTCACACCTCTAAACTCTGTTCATGTACACTCAGCTTTCATTATTTGCTATTCATAGAGCAAGGATGTCTGATTAAAAAGAAGGAAATACCGCTCACCACAGTATTACTTTAAAAAGCAAAAATCCACTAACACATCAAAATAATTGTTTAGAAAAATGAAGTTATACAACTTTACATGGAAGCCATGTATTGATTAAAAAAATAAAGAATTGAAAGATATTAGCAATCCTGTATTCATTCATTCTTCCATCCATTCAACAAATAGTACTGACCAACTATCATGCGCTAGGCATTTGTAATTCAAAATTTTTAAATTAGATACAGTCTACAGAATGTAAAAGAAAATCTAACCTGGATTCTGGCTATAAAAAGGTCCTCCGTTCATCTGATTCTGAAGGCTTGTTTGTGAAGTTATGGAAGGAGGGCGTCTATAGGGCAATGAGCCCCCGATTGTTGGAGGAGTATGGCGAGAGGCAGGTCTATTCATACTGTAGAACTGAACAGGATGACCTGGAAAAGGGATAGAATATAAAGCTGTCATTCAAAGAAAATTATCACAGACAATAAAACACTTTAGGTGCAATGCCTGAATCTTAATAAGATTATTAAAAATAGCAATGCTTAGCTAATTTAATTGCTATCTGACAAACACAAGCTGTTTTGTAATGCAAGGCGACACAGTTATTGTTCAGCTGACATACCAAAATGCAAAAGCAGGAAAGTAGATAAATAAAATTATGATTAAGTTTGGCAAAGCTACACCTAAATAGACTATTCATTAATGATGAATTTATTAAATCAATAATTTGATGGGGTTTCAAAATCATCACAATTAAAATTTATGGCCCCAACCCTCCAAAAAACAGTCACTAAGTACTAGAAACTAAACTCAACAAAATAACATTTGGGAAGGCAAGTGAAAAAATGTGTGACATACAATAGTCTTATTCCAAAATAAGACACAGTCATATTCCAAAATAACAATAGCAAACCTAAATATCAATTTGTTTAAAAGAAAAACATAGCAAAGCAGCAAAAGTCAAGTGACATAATTCCAAATCATCAAAAATATTCAATCAAAAATATCCACCTTCAAAGTGCTAGATTATTTTGCCTTAAAATAGTTCTAGACATTTACAGTTATGTAAAAAAGCTAAGATACAAAAAGTGAATCAAAACATATTTTAATGTCACCCATGAATCTGTACAAATTTATCATCTATCTTACTATATTTTTCTGAGAGTTCTTCAATAGCTAATGCCAACTGGAGACACTTTTTCCTAATCCATTCAATTTCCTAATGCAATCAGGTACCTAAATTTCCTTGATGGCACCTCTACTTACAATCATTCAGGTGAAAGCCTTTTGTTACAGACAGACAGAAAGAAACACAGATAGAGTGCACATGCATGCATACTCCATAGTTCTGGAGCTCCCAGGAAAGAACACTCCAGCAGGTATGAGAGAAGGGAAAGGGAGGGAAGGGAGAAGCGGAGAGGGAGAGAAGAAAAGGAGGTAAGGGAAGTGAAAGGAGAAAAAAAAAATGGGGAGGGAAGGGGAGAAGAGAAGGAGAGAGGGAAAGGAGGAGAAAAAGAGAGAAAAAGTGATCAGGAGGGAAGAAGGGAAAAAAAGAGACAAAGAAAAACACATTTTTGACAATTTTTCGTCTTATCCATGATTTTAAATGGGTCTTCTTGCATGACTAAAATTGGTCTTTAGGAACTCAATAAATTTATCAAACTTGGATTCATATAGATTCATGTATTTTAGAAAAGCACTCAAAATCTGCTATGTCATTTACTCTTCTTACATATGACAGTATCAAAACCTAAAAACCATTTCTGTTGCATAAAAATCTTCAGTATTCAAGTTTATGTATAACCTATTATCAAACAAGATTTCTCTGTAACCAGGATAAAAATGTAAACATATAAACTGATAAACTATTTTTCAAAAGGCACAGTTAAGCCTTTGAACCACCAGATATAAATACATTATTGACATTTTATTAATTAATATATAACTAGCACAAACCTAAGATTATCAGGTTTAAAAACACATGATGATTAACACGTTATGAATTCTACAAACTTAGATCCAGTCTAAAATCATACATGTTATAAGCCCTTGTTGATTCAAAAACACTACAAAAGAGACTCTATTTGTGCTAACTATTAATAAGGCATTTACCTAGTTTGGACTTAAAAAAAACAACTACACTTAATTATCACAGACCTAATGACAAAACTTAAAATTAAAAACTCCTAGAAGAAAACACAAGACAAAATCTGTGTGACCTTGAGTAAGGTAAAGAGTTCTTAGGTATAACATCAAAAGCACAATCCATAAAAGCAAAAATAATTGGTAATTTAAACTTAATAAAAATGAAGACCTCTGTGCTTTGAAAGACACCATTAAGAGAATGAAAAGACAAACTGGGAGAAGATATTTCCAAGTCACATAACTGATAAAGGACTTGTACCCAGAATATACAAAGAACAAAAAACCCTATTAAGGGAGGTAGGGGCAAAACATTTGAATAGGCACTTCACCAAAGATATACAGATGGCAAATAAACACATGAAAAGATGCTCAACATTACTAGTTATTAGGGAAAGGCAAATAAAAACCATCCAAGAAACCAATAAACACCTGACTATAGTGAAATCTCATATATTGCTGGTGGGGGTGTGAAATTTTACAGCCACTTAAGAAAATAGTTTGGCAGTTTCTTATAAACATTCCCATACCATACAACCTAGCAACCCTACTTCCTAGATATTTACCCAAATGAAATAAAAATGTATGTTCACACAAAAACATGTATGTGAACGTTTATGGCAGCATTATTCATAATCACCTAAAACTAGAAATAATCCAAATGTCCCTCAACTAGGAAATGGATAAACACTACTAAATAATAAAAAGGAACAAAATACACCTTCTCCTCACTTATCAACTATCGCTTAAGACTATCGCCATTTTGTATTTACAACAACAGTAAAAAATCTACTATCTGACTAACTTGTGCATTAACAACATACGTCTGGCAGTAACGAATGTTGAGGTGCGAGGTGCTTGGCTGGACCATGATTCTCAGTGGTTTGGCAGTTATGTAATGATGTAGTCATCTTCCATTTTGTGACCTGATGTGGTCATCCTCCATTTTTGTATAATGTCGATTTTGCACAATGACCTGGTCTTTGGAACCTAACCATGCCAGTAAGTGAGGAAAGGGCGTACTGAAACATGCAACCAAATGAATAAATCTCAAACGCATTGTGCCCAAAAAACCAGACCAAAAAGGTCACCTTATTGTATGCTTCCATTTACATCATATTCTTACGAAGGCAGAACTTCAGGGATAAAAATCAGATCAAAGAGTTGTCAGGGGCTGAGGGTAGAGGGGAAGGGTTGACGGTAGAGGGGCACAGAGAAATATTTTGGGATAATAGGACTGTCCTACATCTTGACTGTGGTGGTAGTTACACGATTGTATATGTTTATCAAAACTCACAGAACTTTATACTAAGAATACTGCGTATTTTACATAATTTACATAAATTATACTAAAAAAACAAAGAAAAAAGCATTTGGTGATTCAAAGACACTATATAAGAGAGACTATATAAATTAGGCATTTGCCTTGCTTTTTGTTTAAAAAGAAAAAAACTACAGTTAATTATCCATTCATACAACAAATGTTTATTCAATGCAGACTATAAACCAGGTATCTGTTATTAAGTTACTTAATAACTAAAATGTTGATTTGTCTTTCTGGGCCTACAGCCAATTATAAGATGCATTCTTTCCTATATTGATGTAGCGGCAGAACAAGATCCCTATATTTAACTAGCTACTCTGGCCTAAAGAATTATATGTAGATCAAAGAACAGTACATGTTTATACTTATGCACTATAGAAAGCATTTCTTATGCTGAGTGAAATAAGTCAATCACAAAGGGACAGATATTGTATAATCTCACTAATACGAAATACACAGAATAGGTAAATGTATAGAGATCAGAGTTAATAGTGGTTTCCAGGGGCAGGAGGGAGGTGGAATGGGGGAAATTATTATTTAGAAAGCACTGAATTTTTGTTTATGGTGATGGAAAATTTGGCAAAGGACACTGGTGATGGCTGCACAACATGATTAATATAATTGATCTCACTAAATTATGTATACGTGGCAAATGTTAAATTGCCAAATATGGTGTTATCTATATTTTTACAATTTTTTATAAGTGCTAATTTAGAAGCTATCCTATAAAACACCATCCAAAATCCAATTTAGCTAAAAGTGTCTTTAAAAACATGCAAACAGCTGGTTATAGCAGAAGAACTGAGTTTTTCCTATGAAGGACTTTTATCAGCAAGCTAAACATGAAGGTGATGTGTGTCCAAACAGACATTTTTATAATCTACAAAAACCTGCTTGCTAACCAGCATTACTATTAACCACGCAAACATATTTTGCAGCAATTGAGTCCTTAGCTCCTCCCCTACAAAAACAGATTTGAGGTTGCAATTTTAAAACACTGAAACACCAGTCAACTTAAGTGAACCTGAAATTCTAAAAAAGTTCATTGTCTATGACTTCCCAATGCTGCTATAATAAGCAACAGATTGTTGTAATAGACTTAGAGATCTTCAAACTGTTACAGCAAATACATGCTATAAAATACACCTTAGAATTATTACACTGACTTTTCTTTTGCTAATAACTTAACCAGTAACAAAAAATATTTCTAATAACAACTTCTCAAAACCATACAGAAGATGGCTCCACACTAAATTCACAAATCTCTACTAAATGGAATTCAAGCAATAAAACTGTATATTTGTGCTCTGCTAATAGGAAAATGTATAGTAACTATCCTGATTTTCACAGGAAATTCTAATTTTCAGTCATATGCCATTTTATAGTTAATACATTACTTTTCAGATTTTTTTTAATACAAAGTACAACCAAATAAAAAAAAATTTAAATCATAAAGCCAGAGCTCCAGGTAAGAGAACAGCCAGATGACTGAGTTTGTCTGCTAAGGAATAAGCCAGTACTCACCTGTAGGGGGAGTGGAAGAAACAACAGGGGGAGTTGGAGAAGTGAAGCCATCAGCAAGGGTCTGGGCACCCCCAGCAGCAGCGTCTGGGGCAGTGGAGGAAGGGACAGTAGCAGGAACAAGAGGGGCAGGGGCAGATGCAGAAGTAGCAGGAAGGGGAGGAGTGCCAGCAGAGCCAGTAGGGGCTGAGGGGAAAGAGGAGTAAGAGGCAGCATTAATGAAGCAGTAACATTAGGCAGGATTAGAAAAGGCATCAGAGTATTTAGTGTTAGATATTCAGTGCTTAGCACTAAACAAAAGTATAGAAGAGAATGTTGAAAAAAAGAATGAAGCTTACGTTAAAGGATTATTAGAAATGCAGCAAATAATTCAAGATGCTCAGGGAAAAATTCATGAAAAACACTGCTTTTTACCTGAAAGCTGCTACTCTGGAAGGAAAGTGTTCCCTTTATATTGTTATTTTAAGCTTAAGGTTCTGTAAATAGTATACAAAACTAGATATAACACACTAGAAAATAAGAGTATTCCATTTTGATTTATAAAAATCAGAAAATAGCCAGAAGGCAGAAAGGCAGAAAGGGACAGGAAAGCTGGTGATAGGGAACCCAAGGTTGAATAAGGACAGTGTTGATGTGTTGTGAGATTGTTAACCATTGT